CTGGTAACCAACAAAGATTGTTACTTTTTGTGTGTGAACTTTTTCATGGGTTTTTACAATAGAGGTCTCCTACAATATTTGTCCTTTTGTAATTGACTTATTTCACTTAGCATAATGTCCTCTAGTTTCATCCATGTTATGAGATGCTTCACAGATTCATCATTGTTCTTTCTGGTTGCCTAGTACTCCACTGTATGTATGTACCATAGTTTGTTTATCCATTCATCTGCTGATGGGCATCTAGGTTATTTCCATCTTTCTGCTATTGTGAACAATGCTGCCATGAACATAGGTGTGCATTATTGCAACATTTTTAACTAGGAGATACTTCTCAAAAATTAACATTCAGAAATATAAATGAGTGATCATTAAAAAACTTTTTCTTTAGTAACCTAGCACTGTGCCACCCCTATGGTAGATGGGGCTGGTCCACTCCATCGTGATGGGCTATGTCAAACACATTTTTATTTTGAAGACAATATTAAAAAAAAAGAACGTGAATTAGCTCATTAATAAATTTTATATTGATTACATGTTGAAATGGTAGCATATTGGGTTCAATAAAATCTATTATTAAAAGTAACTTTACCTGTTACCTCTTTACTTATGCGACTACTAGAAAATTTTAAATTATATATGAGGCTTATAGTTGCGGCTCACATATTTCTCTTGGATGATGCTGCTCTGACAGTTGTTTAATGGGTCATCAGTAATTACTCTTCTACTTTATACGTCTGAGCTTTTTATTTTTTTTTCCTTTTTGTCTCTCCTCAGGCACAGAAGCTGAAATCCAATGTATCAGGCAGCACACACCTCTGTCTTTCTGATGTAAGTTATGTTTCTTTCTGGGTCTTTCTGCATTTATAGAGACAGAGCCTTTGGGCTACTGGGGCATGGTATGGCCTAAAGAGCTCAGAGAAATAAGGTTTTAGGTCCATAAAAAACCTAAGCCACCCTCTTTGTCCCTTTGTCCCTCTGCCCTTTGAGCATGGTGCAGACTTCAGAACACAGAGCAGAAAGTCAGAACTAAGCGTGGGACCCAGGATCTTCATCTCAGAGCTGGTCTAACTCTAATACCATGGTTGCAATCCATGAGACTCTGATCACAGTTAGCCAGCACAGAGACGATACCCAGCAACTCTCACTGTTTACCCACACGTCCTCTATCCATCCACAGTGCCTTTGACTCTCCATGGCAACCTAGAGGTAGATAGGGGCAGGTCAGATTCCTCTTCCTGATTTACAGGTGGGGAGATGGACCATTCTGTTATGCAGTGATCAGTGTGTGGGGATGAGACCCTAGGGGATTGAGATGGGGATGGGGATGAAGGTGTCAGTCCTGCGAAGAACAGCTGTGCTTGCTGGGAGTCCAGAAACCTGGGTTCTGGCTTGGGCTTTCCCACTGATGAGCAGAGCCAGCTTCTTACCCTCTCTGACTCCTCATCTAGAAAATATAGGGTTGAGCTGGCTGACGGAGAGAAAGGCTGCCCATCTCTGATGCTATTGGAGGCGTATCTCGGCATGAGCCATTACTTGACTGGACAAGTTTTCTAAGATGATACACCCTGCCCTCCTTCCCTGACGGGGAGGGACAGGGAGCATTCCTTCTCAATCACTGGTACCCAAAAGGAGAAGTGTTCCATGTTATACAGCTACTGGGGGATTTGCACAGCAGGGGTGGAGAATGGCAAGAATACCTTCCCCCAAATCTCTTCCCCCAAATGGATTTTAATAACCCCTAACAGAGGAGCAAGAAGTAAGCATTGGCCAAACAGTTTATAAAAATTACCCAGTTCTCACCCAAGTTCATGGTTACTTCCCATAAAAACTGTAAGTGGGTGAATTGAAGTTTCAGTGGGAGACTCTTCGGTCAGCTTTGGTGAGTGGGATAGCTAGTCGCTGTGAATCGGAATCGGCTCAGCGGCAACAGGTTTGGTTTGGGTTTGGGTTTATAGCTAGTCGGGAATGGGGCTTGGGCAAGAAGGAGTGTGGTTAAAATACACTGTGGTAAAATAAATACACGCAGTGGGTGATAATGAAAATGTTCTTTCTTACAGCATGATTATGAAAAGGACGGCCTCGCTGGTGCTTCCAGCCACATAACCACAAAATCAATGGCTGCTCCTCCAAGCTGCAGCCTGTGCCCACTGCTGCTCCTGGTGGTACCAGCCCTGTCCACCCTATTATCTTTATCTTTGGCAGAAGCATCGTAGCTGCATTTACAAGACAACATGGACATGTAAAAAAGACAAAAACCAAGTTATCTGTTTCCTGTCTTCTTGTATATCTGAAATTCCAGTGTTAGGAGCTCAGTTGAGACACTGCTAAAACGGTTTCATCCAACTGGAATTTTTTTTTTTCTTTTCTTTTTAAAGAAGGCTTCTTGTGATACTTAGGGGCTTCTGTGGCATACTTGTTGCAGGGCTACATTCCAAACGCAGAAGGCTTTAGGGCATGCTGTATGCTAAAGGGACAGTTTGTAAATTGGGTGGTAAAGCCAGCTGGGGTGATGATGATGATGATGAACTGTTTTAACTCTGGCCTCTCCTAGCTAGACAGTGAGTTAGTGTTTCTAAAGAATCTTCCATTTCTCATGCAATGGCTTTGATTTCTAACGACAGAAACTGCGGCCGAACATGGGCACTGAGCTTTTTTGTCACAAAGCGAAGAGTCTCATGGAGAGTAGGCTTTGTGAAAACAAGCTTGTACTGATGTTCACCGTTCTGTATGTTCTCGCATTTTCCTTGCTGAAGTTTATGTACTGTAAACAGCTCTATGCTCTCCGGAAAACAAAAAACACCTGTCACCTCCAAATGTCGTGTCTGTCTTACAGTCAAAGTAGAGAGTGAGAGTGGGCTTGAAATGCCACAGTGTCTTCATCACCGAACGACACTCTCCTAAGCCTTACCTGAGTGAGAAGCCCTTAAACTAACACAAGTCAAATATAGCTGAAGCTTCACTCTAATACTCTTTACACTTATGAGGTTATATGTAGACAAAAAATTTTACTACTAAATGATTTCAACTATTGGCTTTCTATATTTTGAAAGTAACGATATTGTCTTCATTTTTTTACTGATGGTTTAATACAAAATACGTGGAGCTTGTTTTCCTCCCAGTAAGTAGCGTTATCTCTGATATTAACTTCATAAACACAACTCTTCAAAAGCAGACTCCAAGGGGTCTTGTGCTGCAGCAGAAAGCTCTGCATCACATTACTGTGGACAGGCAGGAGGAAACAGAGCAGCCCTGGCTTGGTCTTCTGTCATTTCTTGAAATGCAAGCGTGCATACCGGAGAGGAAACCAGCGGCCACTTGTAAATGTTCTAAAATGTGTAATGGCACCCTTGCCAGTTAACAGGACCCGGTACCCTGGTTTTCATGTTACCTGACAAAGGCAGCTTTGACTTGGGTGAGAGAGGGGGTGTGGTGCCCTCTCTTTCAGGAAACAGATCCATCCCAAGGTCCACAGTTCTTTCCTAAGGGTTGTTATCACTCCCAACTTGGATGGCACGGTCGCGTTCTAGAGACGTTTGATGTAAAGATCATCAGGAATCTGTGTGCATCGTGTTGCATGTCCTCCATGACAGATGGTGATTATGTAAAAAAGAAAGAAGGTTTGAGGGTCAAGAGGGTCAGCCTTAGGTGGAGATGAGTTGGTTGGCTCAGATCAGCAGAACAGCAACAGGACGCTTGTTCTAAAGCTTGTGCTGTGTTAGCTGTGTTAGCTACACACCATCTTCCATTGTTCTCTTCCTTAAAGGAACATACCCTAAAGTGCACCTCTGAAGCCTGGTTTTAGACGGCAAAACGCAGGCTCTACAGAGATTGAGTGATAGCATCATGTTTTTTCTAAAGTGGATAAAGAGAGGAGATGCCTCTTAGTAGAGTGCTCAGAAGCACTAGCTTTCTTCCGCAGAGTAGAGGGTTGGAGGGGGAAACCATGGTGAACATTTCATGCTGATCTCCTTTGCCCGCTGACGTTTTCCTTGTAAGAATTAATCAAATTACCAAGACAAAAATCTATTAAATCCAAGATAAAGGCGTAGTCTTTTAGCTCTGTTGGTGTTTGAAGTGCGTTTATATCCAAATGTTAATAAACACAAACGTGTAATACTAAGTACCACAGTTTTTCACTTTAAAACGTTTTCAGGGAAAATTCATCAAACACCCAACTGTACTGGATCAGTGAAAAGTTTCGTAAAGACTCCTACTTTGAATAAACACATTGAGTGTGTTGAAATATCTGGGATGCTAGTCATCTATGAGAACGTACCTGTGACAGAGCATATTTTGTTTTAGTTAAGGTATCTCTATGTATCTATACTGGACTAATTACATATGGGCCTGATTCTGTGTGATCCATTGAAGAAAGCTATTGATAATTTCTGCACTGAACAGTGGCTCTAATTAGCTTCAGATGACCAGAGAGGAAATGGGAGTTATCAGCACTGACAAGGGTAGCCTTCAGTGATGAGCGCATGGATGTGCAACACAAATTAAATTTTGAAAAGTCTCATCTATCACCAACAAAGATTTCATTTTTCTTCGGAGATAAAAGCATATTAGAGTTACCAAATTCTCAATCTGAGAATAAATTGCTTATTAAATAAACAGGGGGAAGGATGTTCAGTGGCAACACGTTAGAGAGGTTCTTATAAAATCCTGGCAAGCAATGTGGTGCCAGTGTGACACAGTGACCCGAAACACCATTATTTGCACCAAGACTGGATGGAGGAGGCAAATGATTCCAATTGTTCACCTATCTCACTTCCTCCTTGGAGCTAAGAAAGCAAAAATGGTTCACTACTTCCTGTCCTTTGGTCCCTGCATTTAGGGTGTCACCAAATACAGGGGCCAGGGTTTGGGCCTGTCACAGAAAGCATCTCATCCTAGTTGATTGTAATAAGACAGAGACAGTAACCTGTGTCCATGTAGAACATGACTCCCCAGATCAAGTCTAGCCATGCCCTACTGATTTCCGGAGAAAAAGAAAATAGCAATTTTGCCAAACTGATTAGAAGCACATTCATTCCACTTTGATGGTGAATCTCTTTGACCAACCTATGTCTGAGTATCTTTTGAAAAGAGCACAGGAAAGAGGAAGTGCACAATAGAGAGAGGGGTTGCCAAATGCCAACTGAATACTTATTTTTCCATGTCGGCGTTTTTCCAAACCTCTATAGAAGTATAAGTTGAAAATTACATAGATTATTTTTCATTAAGTATAACAAACTATATTCACAGTGTCATATAAGTGTGGTTTCTATATAAATTTTTTTTTTTTAATTTTACAATTCCTTATCCTGTAGTAAAACATGTATTAGAAGTTGGGTCTTCGAGTTCATCAGATACAGGACAGGGCTCCTCCAGGGTGGCTGTGGCCTGAGATTTGGTCTATATTAAAACTGCCCCTGTCTTATATATACATACTCCAAGGATGGGTGATCTGCAGTTGCATCCCATTTCCGGATGCCTCTTTGTATACTAAATCAGACTCCCCCAGCACTCCATCAGCTGAACTGGGAAAGTGGAAGAACAGAAGCATTTCTGAGTCAGTGTATAGTCCTTGGGAAAAAACATACAAGAGCAGTGGGAGTTGATATAATTAGCAAATTCTTTTCTTGGACTCCATCTTCAAATGTATTTCTGTTGTTATTATTTACAAAATAGTGGCCTCGGAGGAGCTGTCTTTTGGAAGAGAAGTTTTCATTCATGTAGTCAGACATGCACGGCTTAGTTGAGTCAGTAAACAAAACGTGGGCTGGGAAAGAGCTGCAGAAATAAATTACATTTGCTAATTCTTTTTCAATGCTGTCCTTCATCTTCTGGATTCACACCTCTGTGATCTTGTTGCTCTTGCTTCTGCTATCAAATGAGACCTTATGAGCTCCACCTTCTGGGGTCATCACGAGTAAAGAGCAGGGACTTTGATATTTTTCTAGAAAGATCTAAAACCAACAGATGTGAGTGACTTACCACTGGCCCAGGCACAGTTACAGCAGGAGGGTGGGGACGCACTGGGCTCGGTGAGTTTTAAGAGATGAAGCTGAATCAAGGTGTAACATGATGGCACCTGTCAACAGGTGAATGGATCATACGGTCTGTTGATGCTCCTTACTGATCAGAGTAGGCAACTTCTCCAAACAAAAGAGCCAGAGTTCTGTGAATTAGACAGCAGTTCCTTTGCGGGCAGGAAGCCAGAGCTAATACCTGGATGCCAGAAGAAGGCATTTCTTTTTAGAAATTCTAAAATGTAATAAAACAGCTGGGGTTTCGGTTGGATACCCTTAGAAGCTACATTTTTCTCTTATTCCTAAGATAGGCATCTCATGTATATATCTCACAACTCTTGACTTTGACACAGCTCTTCTTCTCAAGGGACCATTTGTCTTAGTCTATTTTCTAGAATTCTTTGTGAGAACCACACCTCTGAAACACGTTCTCACGGAGAAGCCTTAAATCTGCGGGTTTTCCCTGCCTCCATCCTGGGATGTATTCAGTGGGCCATTTAGCAAGGCTAGTTGTCTTCTTAAGATATTGGCTGACTCAGTTCTCTTCTGTGTTGATTATTGATGCCCACAGCTCGTCCTTGTTCTCTATTGCTTAGTATTTAACAGTGTCCCTTCCCATTAATTCTTCATCCTTATCACTCTAAATGTAATCCTACCCAAATGAATTCTTGTTCCATCAGATGCTTGTTTCACACGTAGCCCTGGCTTTTAGAAGAGGCAGAAGCCTCTCTCAGGAGCCAGGAGACCTAAAGATGATGCTAAATCCCCAGGTAGGAAGTTTGTCTACGTAATCCTCCCTGAGAGCCCTCTTCTTAGCTTTAGGATTGTCTTGTCTGCCGCATCTTCGCCAGGAATCCCTTTGTTGCTCTCTGATGAGCTCTACTCTTCTAGAGACAACACGGGGTGGTTGTCCAGCAGGATGCACCACCTGCACTCCCCATTGTTCTGAGACCCAGCCTGGAGGGGTGGGGAAGGATCACCATCCCTATTTCAATAAGCTGCCTGCTGAGAACCGCAGCTGTGAATAGTTATCGAGGAGGTCTCAGCCCCCTGAGGTCCCCAAGCTTATTTGACTAGTGCAGCTGTGACTTCGGCTGTTTGCCTCTGGCAGGTGCCAATATCAGCGTCTTGTCTCACTGCCATGAGGAGTTTATTTTGCTCAAGGGTGGCTGCCAAGGCCAGCACCAGCATCAATAGAAGGTTCTTTCTGATTGTCTTCTCTTCATCCCAGACCAGGCTTCCTTTCTAGTCCCCCGGTTTTCATTTTGTAGAGAGTGCCCTGAGGCTGGCCACAGACATCATCAGCCTCATCCTGGCTTTTGGCATTTCCTGTTCACCCAGCCCTTGCCTAGCCGAAAGCATTGTAGGTGCTTAGTGAACACTGGTGGAAGGAAAGACTTTGGGACTTTGAAGGGCCTCCTTCTGTGACCTGTTCTGTTTGCACAGTCCTGCTGGCACTGAGCTGTTACACACTGACTCTGAATGTGTCCCCTGAGGTTATGAAGGGTGGCTTGGGTTAAAGGGTCTAATTAAATATAAGAATCAAGAATCAAAGAAGCTTTAAGTCAGCCACTGTTTTCCCCACTAAGAGATGAAAAAACAGCACTTGTCCCAGGACCAGCCAATCCCAGCCAGCTCACCACACCTGCCAGGAAGGCCAAGACCCAAAATTGGGTGGGTTTGGTGGGAAATCAGCCAGTGAGTCTGCTGAAGAACTTGAGATAAAATCTACCTCAAGTGCAGGACGCCACAAGGAAGGTGGCTACTCCATCACCCCAGGTACGACAACCTTTCTGTGAGCATTCTGAGAAGCAGAGTCAGTGCTGACCCACTCAGCACCTGGACGCTTGCTTCCTCTGGCTGGGTGAGCCAGCCTTGTTGCTGAGGCTCCCCCTGTTCCTCAAGAGTGTAGGGCTCTCCAAGAGTGGCCGAGGGAAACACTGTCTCTCCCAGATTGGCAGAATCCTTCAGTTTGACACTGTTCAGAAAATTTCATTCTCTTTGTAAATAGACCTTGGAGCTTGGTCACCAATCGGTCACCTAGAGGTAAGTCCAAGCCACCTATGTGCGTAAAGCCACCCACCCAGCTCACATGCTGGGGACAAGGCAAACACAGCCACCCTGAGCCAGAAAGGCCTCCAGAGAGGACCCAATATAATCACTCCACTGAGCCTCAGAGGGCTGTGAACTCGGCCGAGCAGGCCACAGCTGTCAGGTACCCCCAGGATGCCAGGTGGGACTAAGATGCAGCTGAGATGCTTTAGCCAAGGAAAGCAAACAGCAGTACTCCTTCAAAATAACACCAGTGAATATGCACACGGGCCCCTGAGAGCTGCCAAACACAACG